CTCGGGCCCGCCGACCCAGACTGCATCGACCGCGCGGCGGCAGGGTTCGGCCACATGCCCCTGGTGTCCTCGTGCCTCCGTCTGGACCCAGTGCTCTTCAAGGACCCGGTGTCCATGCTGCGCAAGAAGTACCGCAGCCTGGAGAAACCCTAAAACGACCCACGGAGACCCCCTTCCTTACTGCCCGGGGCGCTGCACCTACTGCGAGCTGGAGGCTCGGCTCACGTGTTCCCTCCCTAGAGACACCTAGGGAGCCAATCCTGGTGCCCGGCTGGCCAACGCGTCGGATCCCGATTGGCCAATCATAGCCGTGGCGCCCGGAGGGGGCGGGACCTCGCCCCGCCCTCCAGCCCCCCGCCGGGGTGCTCCCGGGTGCGCTGCGCTGCCGGGTCTCCGTACGTCTGCCTCAGCCGACGCCTCTGCCGACCTGGCTTCTACTTGTCTTTCAAATCCTCGCCTCCCGCGGGGACTTGCCTGACCCCCCTCCCTCTCCGGGTCGGTTTGGTCTTCTCTGCGCTTTCGCAGCCCGGCGTTTCCCGCAGTCCCGGCGCTGCTCATGCCGCCTCATCGCGTCACCGTCAGGCCCCAGCCTGGCCTGGGAACCCCGGGAGGGCTGGGTCGTGTCCTCCTCTCCGGCCTTGCAGGTGCGCTACGAATATTTGACGAACAGAGAAATGGAAGACACATCAACTGCGTGCCTGGCCCTTTGAGGACGGTAGCGGGAGTGTGGACAGGATGTGCCGAGTGGGAAGACGGGACTCCGTCCCCGTCTCCGGGGTTCCCGGTCCGGCGGGAAGGCAGCTACCCGCAGACGCCTGGGTTGCCAGGCGCAGCCCTCGCGTCCCAGCGATGGAGCAAAGAGGCACCGGGAAGCCAGTTTCCGGGCTTCTTTCCCGACTGGGCGGAGCGGAATGGGGAGGGGAGGGCAGGGATGAGAAGGCGGGCGGTGGGCCCCAGGGGTCCGGGACCCTCGGCTCGGTTCGGCTCGGCTCGGCTCGGCTCGGCCCGGCCCGGTCGCAGCCCTGCGTTACCAGCCTCGACCACTAGAGGTCAGCGCCGCCCCGCGCTCTCTCCTCCGGGAAAGGGAGTGTAGTTCTCAGCACCTCCGGGCTGGAGAGCAAGGGCAGGGCTTGGTAATGCGCAGCCTGAAGTCTGGAAACTCGGGGAGTAGGGGAATAGCTGAAACCATAGCCTCACCCTTTAGCCTACACACTGAGCACTAAGCAGGGCCATTTCCAGGTGGGCTGGGTGGGAGCAGAAGCTGGATTGCCTGTAGGTGAGAGTGCAGTGCGAGAGGGGACTCTGGGTTCTCCCGGGTTCATCCACCTGGAGCTGAAATTATCACTTCCGAAATAAAGGGCGGTCCTTGCCCCCTCAAGCTCAGGCTATAAATACCCCTACAGCAGCTGTGTGCCGGCAGGAACCTGGGAGGGGGGCGGCTCTAGAAGGGTGGGGGTAGTGGGTCCAGCCCAGGTCCAGGGTGTCAGGTGTTTTTCTGCTTTGATGGCCTCCCCGCTTTGGAAACTCCCCTGACTAGCTCGTTGGCCAGAACATGCTGTCCCCCAAGGCCTCTCCAAGGCTTCCCATCCCCATTCTCCAGCTTGACCTCTGGCCCCTGGATGACTCAGGTCCTCCCTGGGGCCAATCACAGCTGGGGGTGCTGAGAAGCCCTTGGGAGGCATGGGGCTGCTAGATTCTTGAGGTGGAGGGGGAACTGGGAGTTAAAGTCTACGAGAGGCAGCCTGGCCCAGGATCAAGAACAGTTGAGAGTGGGTGAGAAAGCACACAGCTGCAGCCCAGGCAGCCTTCAGGGCAGAGGGCTCTGAGTGCCAGGCCCAGCCAGGGGAAAGAGGCACCTCTCCCTTCCCCAGTCACAGCTGTGGCACCCAGAACACTGAACGGCCTTGGCATAGCCTTGCCCATAGGGAGGGCACTCCAAGGCTCAAGGACTCACACTGTAACAACATGCAGCCCAGAGCGGGTCCACAGCCCCTGCTGTAGGGGGAGGCCCAGGGGAAAGAGGCAGAAACCCCAGACCTGCCTCACACTTGCTGTGTGACTTAAGGCAAATGACTCAACCTGTTTGAGTTTTCTCATCTGTAAAAATGGAGCATTGCAGTGACTGTCTGGAGAGGGGTGTAAGAACTTGCCATGCAGCAAAGCTCAGGATCCAGGTTCCTGGGGCCTGCCATGGCTGAGGAGGAAGGGATTGTTGATTCCCCAGAGATTGGGAGATTGGGGTGGACCACGGCCATCTTTCCAGAATAAATATGAAAGTAACCAGTCTTCACTGACCAGGTGCTTCGCAGACTCTGGCTCCAGTCTTCACAATAACCCTGTGAGTTGGGTGTTACTCTCAGATGAAAATCAGAGGCACAGCCAGGCTGACTTGCGTAAGGGCACTTGCTTGTTATGGCAGAAGGACACCAGACCAGGGCTACCTGATGTTGGGCATGCTGCCTCCTCTGTGAGACTAGGGACAGGTCTCCCCCTTCATCTTATAAACACAAGCCACCCCCTAGTTCAGGAACCTTCACACACTCCAGGAAGCCAATGTTTCCTGTCCCGATTGTATATAGGCCCTCTCCTCCATCCCCAAGTTCAGAGCCGGTCAGGCCATGGGGCAACAGAGCTGACCCAGTCAGATCTGATTTCAGGTTGAGTTCCCCAGGACACTATCAGGCTGAGAATTGACTCAGGAACTGTGTGGCGGTTAGGGTAGGACCCAGGATGACATTCCTGCTCCCCTTCTGCTCCCAACTGTGGCCTGGGTATCTGTTGGCACAGCTTCCTGAGCTCAGGGAATAAGAGGAAACCAGCCAGGTCCTTACTTAGTAGTAAGTCTCCTCCCTCCAGGAAAGGGAAACATTTGGCTGAGAGCTGATGTGACTACCACAGAGATGGGCCTCAGGTGCCCCCAGCTCCCCATCTCAGGGGGACACGTAGGAGAGTGCAGGGTCCTTATGTTACCAGTGTGTTGGCAGTGAAACTGTACCTCAGTTCTTGAGTTTGGCAAAGATTTAAGAGCTAAGAACTCAAATTATAAGAGAAAGTTTATTTAGAAAGTTACAGAAGGGCCCTTGGGGTTTAGGAGAGAAAAGCAGAGGTAATGTGCCTGGGGGGAAGAAGAGGGGGAGGGGACAGGCCCAGGTATGCTCCCTAGAGGGAGAGCACAGTGCTGGGTCCTTAAGGATTTTAAAGGCTGGGAGTTTAGAGGAGGATCTCAATAAAATATTCATCAGCTTTACGCTGATACACCAAAATGAGATTCCCCTGACTTCATCCCTCCTTGGGTGTGGTTGGCACAAATGGCATTAATTGGATATCTGTTATCTCCTGAGTTGGGTGATTTTATTTACCCTCTGGTTGGGGAGAAGTGTAAACCATTTACTCTTAAGTGTCCTTGGTTAGGGAAGATCAGATTTTGTTATTTACTAGATGGCTGGTTGTAAACTGCTTGGCTGGTTAACCACCTGTCTCAGTTTCTCTAGTCCACTTGTCTGGCTTACTAGCCCCCATGGCCTCCTTAAATCAGATCATGTTAGAGGCAAAGGGAGGGGGCTCTGTTCCCAGGCTTCTTTACAGATTCATAAGGCAAAGAAAATGGGAAGTGAGGGAGGTAGGCAGGGGACACTAGGGCCAGGCTCCCCTCCGGCATCCCTCACTGTGCCTCACTGCCTTTCCCTGAGGTTGGTGCTAAGATAGCACTGGCTGAACATTAGGCCCAAACCCAGCCCTGCTGGGAACTGACCCAGGAGCGGGAGGAGTGGGATCAAACTAGCTTTACACCTGCCAAGTCCCCATCCTGGGACTGGCTATAGTCAGATGGGGGAGGCAGGGGAAGAGCCCCATTCCTGGAGTGGGCAAGGCTCCTCCACACTGCTCATGGAGCTAAGGTCAGGAAAGGGATCTGGTTTATAACACAGCCAGGGTAAAGCAGTTCTGGCTGGGTCTGGGGGACACTGGGCCCTGCTGTCTGCAGGTCCTGTCCATGCCCCAGTTGGCATCTGGCCAGGCAGTCAGTCCGAGGGGCCCTGGCATGCCTGACAGTCCTTCATGTCCTCAGAGTAGTCCTCAATCTGGATGGTCATGGTGTGGAAGTGGAACCTCCCCTGTAGGCGGGCACTGGCTGCCTTCAGCACAGCCTGGGCATCTGTGTTCTGAGCTGGGGGCCAAGAAGACACATCAGGGGAGGCACCAGAAAAATGTTTACTCTTGGGCCCTCAGAAACAATCAGAAGCCCAACTCTCATGCTCTACCCACAGCAGATCAGGAGAGGTGATCTTAAACATCAAGAAAGCCCAGATTCCACTCCTGCACCAGGCAACCCCCCAGCTCCCACACCTGGCACAATCCTGGAAGAACAGGAAAAGCACTGGCTTTAAGGCTTTCCTTTGCCACTTAGTTGTAAAAGTCTGGGTGACTCACCCCACCACTCCCCTAGCCTCAATTTCATCTATAAATGGGCTTGGGATGATCAAATGAAATAATGTATGCAAAGCACTCAGCACGGGGCCAGGTTCAAAGCCTGGGCACTGCAAGCATCTGGAGTCGCCTGGACCTGTTAGGGATGCCCCAGGCCTCTCTGGCTGCCTCCCTCACCTCACCCTGAGCGTCCCCACCACTCACCGATGGCGATGTGGACAGACAGCACCGGCTGGGCCACAGTCAGCGCCCAGATATGCAGGCTATGCAAGGCTTCCACCCCCTCCACTGACAGCAGCAGATCCTGAACAGCCGTGAAGTCCACACCTTTGGGGGTCGCTGGCGACAGCAGGGATGGGGCTGAGTGGAACTGCTCCCCTCCACCCACGCTGGTTCCTGCTCCTCCAATGGCATCTCAGAAGAGCTCCTTGGCCAGCTGTTGCCCCCTCTTCCTAAATGATCTCCGTCCTATCACCCTGTTGTATTTTCCTCTTAACAGTATCTGAAATTGTTAGTTTCTGGTCTGTCTCACCCTCTAAAATGGAAACTCCATGAGAGGACAGTCTATTTCGTTTACTACCCTATCCTCACCGGTACCTAGAACTGCCTCACCCATAGTAGGTACTCAATAAAAAGGGGTTGGTTTTTCTTTTTTAGTGGAAAGAAGGGAACCTGGAGATTGTCACACCCACGTCGGGCATCATCATCATCACTTTGATCTGGGTCAGTCATATTCTTGGAGAAAAAGCTCTGACCTGCAGCTGGACACTCCTGCTGACCCCAAACCAGGATCCAGATTGACCCTCCCCACACAGACCCATGACCCAAGACCTGGAGCACAAGAAAGCCAGATGAATAGTGTGGTAGCTCAGGGCAGACCATCTGCCACTACCTAGCACCCCTTGAAGCCCAGCCACATCCTCCTGAGGCAGGGACCTCGGAAAAGAAGGCCTGAACTGGTTCACAGATTCAGCAACCTTGTCCAACACTGACTGCCTTTTCCGAGCCTCAGTCTGTCCCCCTGTGCAATGGGAAGCATGATCCTCACCCCTCTCTACCTGAGGAAAGGCAAATTGAGATTGAGGAAGTGTATGGGGAAGGGCTAGAGTGTCAGGTGCTACAGACCCAACCCAGAAAACACCTGACTAGGCAAGGAGCACGCATCTCAGCAGGGACGAGGCACCCTTGGGCCTACGGGGAAGGGAAGGCATAGTCCAGAGGACATTTCCAGGAATGGCCACACCTGAGGGCCCAGCTCTATGCCAAGACTGGCCTAGGGCCCCAGGCTATGCCAGGCTCCAGACCCTGGCTCCCCACCAATGTGCCAAGATCCAACCCCCACCCTGGAACTTCCACTAGAACCTGAAAACCAAGAGCAAAAAGGAAGCCCGAAGCCTGGTTACCTTCCATTAGCACCAGGATCACGTCTCTCAGGATGGTCAAGGTTGTTCCCAAGACCAGGATGGAGAAGAGGAAGGTGCAGGTGGGGTCTATGTACTTGTACTCTGGCTGCAGAAAAGAGAGAAGGCAGAGCTAAGGTTCAGCACCAACACCTCAGCTTCCCTTCTCCCTTCCCTGCCAGCACTGTGTAGGGAAGAGGGGCTCTCTCTGCGGGTGGGCATGAGCCTTACCAGGCCTTGCCTTCCAGAAGGACAGGCCCGACAGACCACAGTTCAGGATAAGGCATAGTCCCTTCCCACCCCTCCTTGCCAAGGGGCTGAGACATGGACGGATCTAAGTGGAATCTTAGACACCATCTAGTCCATCACCCCCATTTTACAGGTAGGGAAATTGAGGCTCTGTTAGAGCAAGGGACCCACTCTACATCATAGCTAGCAAGGGCTGGAGCCAAGGCCTGGCTCTTTCCAATATACCCACTGCCTCTATGTGACAAGCAATGCCCAGGCTTCAGCAGCACACAGTGCTGGGTTTGAATCCGGCTTCATAACTTAGCAGTGGTGTGACGCCACGCAAGTCATGGAACCTTTCTGAGCTGCAGAAAACACCACTACCTACCCTTTAGGGTTGTGAGGATCAGAAGTTGAATAAATGTTCCTTCCCTCTCCCCACCCTTTTGCCAAGACCTGGGAGTGGAGCTAGAATCTGGGAAGGGTCCTGTGCAGAGAGCAGCACCAAGATGATCTATACCCTCCCCCTCCCCAGGCCCCACCCC